GGTTCAAAGGCAAGGTAATGTGAGCAGATTAGTTAATGCTTCTTGGCCTGGCCCTTGAGAGCAGGGCTGGAATGACGGGGCAGACAATGGGTTTTGAAGGCTTTTCTTGTTAAGATATGAATCAATGGAGCTGTACGAGGAGCAGGGATGATGTGATCGGAATAAGAATCACGGCTTGTCTTTGAACCAGAGCGAAGTCCCTGATGGTGTTTACTTCATGTCCTGGCACCAAATGTGAGATGATATGAATATATTAGCTTATTGGCTTTCCTGAGCAACCCCTGCCATGCTCAGACCAGCTTCAGGAAGGAAAAGAGCAGCAAAGAGAATCAGTTTGGAAATGTCAACTTGTTTGCCAATAACCCTGTCACTTTTGCTTACCCCTGAAGGCTCTGGCTGTGACAGGGGCTGTGCTCCAGGGGGGAAGAGCTGGGCACAGGGGGTGACACTGGGGGCTGTTCAGGATCTGGGGAAATTTACCAGTTGGCTAAAGCCTTGCTCATGAAGCCCTGTGGTGCTGGCTCTGTCATCTGCTTCCTGAGTGTCTCTTGCTTCATCTCTCCCAGTTGCATCACAAGGTTTCAGTTTCTTCCAAATCCCAGTATGGAATTGGGAGTTTTTGCAACATTCCCAGTCCAGGAACAGGTTAATCTGGGTTGGAAGTGTTGTCCAGGGTTGTCTCACCCTGCCCTGCCCTGCCCTGCCCTGCCCTGACAGAGCCCTGGGCAGCACCAGCCCCTCTCCCAGGGCTCATTTCTTCCTATTGCCCTGGATTTCCTAATCCTTGGGGGTTTTAGGTTGTGTGGGTTGGTAGGGATTTTTGGGGGAGGAAACCAGAAAACTGTCACAAGGTTTAAGGTCGTGGGGAGGCTGCGCTGTCCCCATCACACCCAGTGCCCCCCCCCGCCTGCTGCTGCCAAGGGTCTCCAGCCCATTCTCCCTTCCCAGGCATCACCTCAGTGCTGCTGCTGTCCCCGTCCCCAGCATCCCACACCTTCCTGCTCCCACACATGGGGTGTGAACTGAGGCTGGAGTGGCCACAGGGTCCCTCTGGGAGCTGGGGGCTTGGGGCAGGGTCCCAAGGAAGGTTTGCTCTGGTGGCACCTCAGTCTGCACAAAGCCACATTTGCTGCACTGGGAGCCCAGAGCAGAGGAGCCCTGTTCCCCGGTAAGAAGGAGCATCTGGGCTGGTTTGGTTTAAGCACATTCCCCACAGCTCCAGCAGCACCTCCTGCAGTCTGGATTCCATCAGTTAGGAATGTCTGCTCTGGGCTTTGCCCCTCACCACAGCCCAGGTGTCACAGAGCTGGGAGGGGACAGCAGCTCCCTCATTGTCACTCTCCTGGCACATCTCCCAGCCAAGCTGAAGACAGGAAACTGGGGAAATCCCAGTTTCTCAGTATTTCAGGTCTTTCTGAGTAAATTGGTGACCAAGCCTTCCAGCAATGGGGACAATGACTGCGTGATCAAACTGGGATCACCCCCACCTTGGGATGGAGATTCAGGCAGCAATCCAACCCCAGCTGGATCTGGGAGGGTCCTGCTGCCTGCAGCCCCTTTTGCCCTCCATCCCAGCCCTGCAGAGATGCTCAGGCCACAGGTACTGCCAGCACAGAGCTGGAGCATCAGTATTGCACATGGATCTCCTGGGATCACAGAAGCTGGGGGAAGGAAACCTGCAATAAGCACAGAGCATTTGTACAGGCTTTAGGCTAAATCCTTCCCTCCCTGGGTAGCAGCACTGCAAAGCTGTTTCCTGAAGTCTTGTTATTCCTTTTCAGGCTGGGACACTGCAGCTGGCAGCAGAGCTGGATTAGGAAAGGGGAGAGAGAAGCCTGGCCTGCTGAGCTGGGTGAGCTATGCTGGCAACCAGAGGCTTTGCTTCAGCAAAGGTCAGGGTGACAATCCAATATCTCCAGGTCAGTAGCCCAGAATGGCTCTGGGAGGAGAATGAAGGAGGAACTGGTGCCTTGAACTTTATTCCACTCAGAATCCCAGGACTGCTCCTGTTCTGGCCAGGTTGGTGTCTTGAGGGTCTGGAGAAGGGATTCCCACTGCAGCCCTGGAATCCCACCAGCACCAAGGCCTTGGGGCAGCTCCTGCAGCTCCTTCCCAAAGCACTCCCTGGTGGATCTCATGTGGTGTCTCCTGGGACCAGCCCAAGAAATGGCATCTGTCAAAAGGCCCCAGGGAGCTGACACTGCAAGGGACACTAGAAATGGCCTGTTATTCTCCAGGAAACAAATGACAAGGCTGTCCCCAAGCACCAGGAAGGGTGGACTCAGACCCAAAGGTCTGGATTTGAGGTGTCTGCCTTTACCCCAGAGACAGTGGAGAAGTCAAAGGTGGGGATCTGCCATCATCCACATCCCACATGCTGTGGAGCTGAAGTCTTGGGTTTTTTTGCCTTTACCTCCCACTCAAGGATTAGGAGCCAAGTACATTTCTCATTGCACCCAGCACATGAGAGGAGGAGAGGCAACGTGGGAGGGCAGGGGAGGAGTGGGAGAAGCCATTGGCAGGTGGGTACAGACCCCTCAGGAACATGGCATGCTACAAGCAGAGGCTTGGAGGGCCTGGAAACCCATCCTCACCCTCTGCAGCTAGCATGGAGGATGGCTTGGACAAGCAATTGATCTCTTCCTGCTGTGCAGAAGCTCTGGGAGAAGCAGGCTCAGGCTCAGCAGGGACAGGGCACCTCAGTGTCACCCCATCAAGGGGACAGGACCACAGGAAGGAGATGGAAAGTAGGAGGGCTGTGATGCTCAGCTGGTGAGGGGAGAGAGATCAGGGTGTTGAATCACCTTGATTTCTTCAGCATGGATCATGCAGGCTGACCCCATCTCAGTGTCTGCACTGGCCATGGGGACAGAGTTCTCTGTCCCCCTCCCTAAGCCCCACGGGCCTGGAGTGCCCTGTCTGAGCAGCAGGCACCGTGCTGAGCTCCCCCTGGGGCCAGCAGGCAGCAATGGTGTCAAGGCAGCATCTCCCTCCATCTGGAACGAGTCGCCTCCTAACCCCAAGCCCTGGAGAGCAACAGTCATGGGAAACCATGGAAACCATGGCAGGCACGTGACAGCGTGTGCTGCACTCCTGCCCTTGATTTATGTCCCACCTCTGGGACCAGAGGCACGAATGCAGGGCTCTTGGGATGTTTGGGATTTTGAGGCAGTGGAGAATCATCACTGCTTCACTCCCCACCTCCTTTGTGGAGCAGGATGGCAGGGCTGGGCTCCTGCCAGGGCCAGACATGATGAGCCCAGGGAAGGAGGCAGGAACCTGGAAAAGGCTGGGGGATTTCTCACTTACTTTTCTAATATTTCTAAATTGAGACTTTTGAGCCCAGACTTCTGAGCACCATGACTCCTGGTGCCAGGGAGTGAGGAAAAGCTCCTGCTGCACCCAGGCACCAAGTGCCAGGCTCTGAGCCCAAGGTGGACACCAGGTACAAAAGCTTGAAGATTTCTTTTCTTTAAACACACAGCAAATGATAACCACAGCTTGACTCAGATCATCCCCCCAGTGTTCACATTGGTCAGTATTTGATTTTTCCCCTTTTTGAAAGGGGATTTTTCCCCTTTCACTGCCCTGCAGTTTTGCTCAGGGTTTAAGCTGGGTCTCTCGGGGTTTAAGTCAAGTCTAAAGCACCTCTTCCCCTGCACCTCAAGGGAAGGTGACAAGCTCAGCTGTGCCATCCCCTGTCCAGAGGGATTTCTCTGCTGCCTGGTGACCACCTGGGGACATTATTTGAGCTGGGGCTCATGGCTGTTCATCCCAGTGGCTAATGGGCAAAAGGCAAATGCAAACGTGCTGAAAATCTGATGATTCAGCAGCTGCTGGTGGAGTTATCGAACAATTCCTGACCTCTGGCAGGGTTGGGTTGGTCACAGTGCTCTGTTGTCACCCTATCAGCAGCTCCCAGCTGAGCTTTGCTCTCCAGCCAAGGGGTTCAAGGCTGCGTGGAGCTCCCAGTCTGTCCCAGCACGTGTTCCCTGGGGGACCCACAGTGGGGGATCTGTGGGCAGCATGTTCTCCAGCAGCTCTCATCAGCTCTGCAAGAGCAAATCTGCTGACACCACCGCTCTGGCGGCTGCTAATGGGGAGGTGGCCAAGGCTGGTTTGGAGGAGAAATACAGCAAAAAGCCTCGACAGCTCTGCAATTACAAAGCTCCAGCTCCTCAAGGGGCTCAGCCACCCCCCAGGCTGGCAGAGCAGCACCCGCAGCCCGTCTGTCCGTCTGTCTGCCCGTCTGCCCTGGCAGCGCACACCCGCAGCTCCGCTCGTCTCTGATCCCCCCGGGGGCACTCGCGGTTATTACAAGGCTCCGTAGGATTCTCCTGCTCTCTGTGCTAATGGACTGTGCTGTGGGTTTAACATACCGGATTGTCAGCGAGCTGGGAATGGCATTTGGGTAAAAACCGGCCCCAAAAGCACACCCACGGAGGCGGCGGGAAGCCTGGAGTGGAGGTGTTCCCTGCCAAGGCGCTGCCAGGAGCGATGCAATCCACAATAATACCTTCATTTCACCAGTGCCTGAACTCTGGATCCCTTTCAGCTGAGTCGTGCCACGAGAAGGGAGAGCAAATTCTCAGTATGAAAAAAGTCCCCATGGGACAGACCATGATCTCTTTTGGGGGGCAGAGAGATCCCCACTCGACCCAAATCTCTTCTCAGCCCAGGAACTGGAGGTGAGGGGTCTGTCCTTCCAAACATCACCTCCTGTAAAATCAGGGAGTGCAAAGAGCAGAGCCGGGGCAGAACTCGGCGCAGCCAGCGGTTGGGCTAACTTTAACTCAGCACTCTGGATTCTGAATTTCCTCTGAGCTGTTTACAAAGGGCTGGAAAAAAAACTTCAAGCACTACCTCCCCCCCCCCCCGCCAGCCCCGTCCTGATGTTGCCCAGAACATCTCTCTCATCCCTCCCTTTCAGGGAGGAAAAAAAAAAAAGGAAAGGAGGGAGGAGTGGGAGAGAGGAGGAGAGAGGGAGAAAGTGAGCTCACGTTCACACATTGGTGAAGAGGCTGGTCTTGCAATGCCTTTGAATATTTTACTTTTAGGCAGTTCCTCATCAGTCAGCCACACACATCCGAGGCGAGCTGAAGCTAACTACAGCCATGGACAGCACTAGGAGATCTCACATCTAATCGCACGCATCATTCCTCCGGGATATTCTTTAAATTCCATACCCAAACACGCTGACAGGCAGCTGCACTCACACACACACTCACACACACACTCACACGCACACACACACATCCACACGTCGCAGAGCCGCCGAGCAAACACCTTGTCTCTCCTCTCACAGGATATACCCGCTCACACACATCTCTCTTTATCTCCTCCTGGCTTCCCGGAGGATCCTGCCGGCTGTTTTTCATGGAGAAAGTCCAGGGAGAAATGGAGATTGAGAGATGGGAAAGAAGTGAAGAAATTTCAGACGCAGAAAAAAAGGTTATTCAAGAGATATGGAGCAGAGTATATGCAAACTGCGAGGACGTTGGGGTCTCCATACTCATCAGGTATTTAAAAAACAAACCGAAAAAAAGGAAGCAGCAAATCCAACTGAATCTCTATATAGCTCAGAAAGAGGCAGTACAATATATAGAACTGAGTGGAGATGAATGACAGCGAGTGGGGAGCTGGCTGGGTGTATTTGCTGCCTGGGAGCAGGGAGGGATTCACAGCGCTCCTCGGATTCCCACACCTTTGAGCCGGGTGGCAGCGGCGGGGGCAGCGAGGGGAGCCTTGCCGGGGACTTTGGGGGGAGCTGCTCCATGCTAAGGTCACCTTAACCCGGGGCCGGGGGGCGGCGGAGGCGGGGGGAGCTCAGCCCCGGTGCGGGCGGGTCGGGGCTCCGCGGTTGTTGGCCCCCCCAGGGAGGGCGTGCGGATGGCACGGGTCCGGAGCAGGCTGGCGGGTGAAATAATGCGAGTTGGGAGCCAAGATAAAAGCCAAGCAGGTGTGTCTCCCAGGGCACCATCTGTCCCTCCGGCGGCAGCGTCGGTGGGAAGGAGAGCAGTGAAGTTGGAAGGGGCTGAGGGGGGCACGGGCGGGAGAGGGGGCAGGGGGGGACAGCAGCCCCCGAGGGGGGTGTGGAGCATCTCCCGATGGCAGTGGGGCACAGAGAGCAGCTCAAAGCTCTGCACCTGCAGCCAGAGCAGGGGAGATGCTCTGGAGGTGGGGGTTTTGTGTTGTCTGGGAGTAAAGCCATATCCAGGTACACCGGGAAAGAGCCAAGTGGGAATCCCACAGTGTCCCACTGGCACTGGGAGTTTGGGGTATCAGTGGGGTATGGCACCAACAAGCTGTTTCCCTTATTGAGGAGGGCAAGGAGAGGGGCAGGTGAGATGCCTGCAATGGCCAAATGGCAAACAGCAAAGATCCTGTCCAGAGCCACACCGCTCATCCCTGGGGTCAGGAATGCTGGGATGTCCCTGGTCAGACCCCACCTGGACCAAAACCAGGCACCCCAGGTATGGGTTGTGTCCTTCCCATTTCCTCCTGCACCAGGGGACTGTGGGTGTGCAGGGAACCCCTTGGAAGGATGTGCTGTTCACTAATAATCATCTGAAAGTTTTCCAATTGACTGAGCTAAAGCTCTGAGCCCACAGGGACTGCAGGGAGCAGAGCCTCCCTGGACATCACAATGAGCAGAGCCAGTCCCCTCCAGGCTCATGCCAGCACTGCAATGGGATTTTCTTACCAAGACCCCGCTGCAGATTCCAAAATTACATTGGAGCCCCCTCTCCACCTCCTTCACAAACATTTCCTTCTCTCAGAGCCAGCTGATGGCTGAGCCCATTCTCCCATGGCCCCCAGTCTGTGTAGGCAGCCAGGGCAGTCAGGAGGTGTGACAGCTCCATGGCTGGGACACCAAACCTACCTAGGCTGGGTCTGAAGCAGAAATGGCAGAGACCTGGGGGTTATAAGATTCCCCTCAGCCCCATCTCTCAAGGTTCAGCTCATGGCTTGGCCACCAGCCATGCATGGCCCTTGCCCAGCAGCTGGGTCATGCCATGGCCCCATCTGCCAGCCCTTCCAGGTGCCCACTGCCCACAGACACAGGGAGGGTGGCTCTGTGCCCATGGCTGGCACTGAGGGACTCGTGGCAATGCCATGGGGGATTCACCCAGGGCAGCTCATGGCTTTTGGAGTCTCCATGGTGCTTGGAGCAGGGTTGGGCATGAGGAGAATCGAGGTGTGGCTGGCTGAGCTCTGGTCCCAAGTCAAACTTTCCCAGCAGAAGTTTTTGGTGCAGTTTGGGGGTTTTTTTAATGCAGGCAGAGTTGTGCACTGTGGTGAAGGTTTTCTCCTGCTGTGACAACAAGGCAGGACAGAACTGCCTGCTAGGGTGAACCCTGGCTCTTTGGGAGCCTTTACATCCTTAGTCATGGCACGTGCCCTGACACACCCCAGCTAAACCCACCACCTGCTCCCTCAGCCAGAGCTTCCCTGGGATGCTTAAAGTGAGGTCTGGCCTTGTGCATATCCCTGGGGATAGTGATGCCATTTGGGAGAGGAGCCATCCCCTCCAGCAGCGCCGGCTGGAGCAGCAGATCTGCATGGCACAGCCGGTTTGTGTCCCCACGGTCACAAACCCTGTCCCCAGAGAGCTCTTTGCACTGCTGCTCTGAGCCCGATGTGAGCTCTGAGCCGCACCTGAGCTCCCTGGGAAAGAAGCACGTGGAGGCCGAAAGCAGGGCAGCCCTGGCCGGGGCTGGGAGAGCAGGGCTGGGAGAGCAGGGCAGCCCTGGCCGGGGATGGGAGAGCAGGGCAGCCCTGGCCGGGGCTGGGAGAGCAGGGCAGCCCTGGCCGGGGATGGGAGAGCAGGGCTGGGAATACAGGGCAGCCCTGGCCGGGGCTGGGAGAGCAGGGCAGCCCTGGCCGGGGCTGGGAGAGCAGGGATGGGAGAGCAGGGCAGCCCTGGCCGGGGCTGGGAATGCAGGGCAGCCCTGGCCGGGGATGGGAGAGCAGGGCTGGGAGAGCAGGGCAGCCCTGGCTGGGGCTGGGAGAGCAGGGCTGGGAGAGCAGGGCAGCCCTGGCCGGGGATGGGAGAGCAGGGCTGGGAATACAGGGCAGCCCTGGCCGGGGATGGGAGAGCAGGGCAGCCCTGGCCGGGGCTGGGAGAGCAGGGCAGCCCTGGCCGGGGCTGGGAAAGCAGGGCAGTCCTGGCCGGGGATGGGAGAGCAGGGCAGCCCTGGCCGGGGCTGGGAAAGCAGGGCAGTCCTGGCCGGGGATGGGAGAGCAGGGCAGCCCTGGCCGGGGCTGGGAAAGCAGGGCAGTCCTGGCCGGGGATGGGAGAGCAGGGATGGGGAAGCAGGGCAGCCCTGGCCGGGGTTGGGAGAGCAGGGCAGCCCTGGCCGGGGATGGGAGAGCAGGGATGGGGAAGCAGGGCAGCCCTGGCCGGGGCTGGGAGAGCAGGGCAGCCCTGGCCGGGGCCGGGAATGCAGGGCAGCCCTGGCCGGGGCCGGGAATGCAGGGCAGCCCTGGCCGGGGCCGGGAATGCAGGGCAGCCCTGGCCGGGGCCGGGAGCCCCGCGCTGCCGCTGCCCCAGCTGTGCTCGCAGCTGGCAGAGCCGCGGTGGAAGTGGGTCACGCGTGGGGGCCGCCGGGAGCCCGGGCCGTGATTCAGCAGCTCCAGAGGTCGGGGCTGGGGAGGGGGCAGCGGGCGGCCGCTGGAGGGGTCGGTGCGAGGTGACCCGCCCGGAACATTTTGGGTGGGTGCTCACACAACGCCCCGGGGGCTGGGAGCTGCCCCAGTCAGCCTCTGCTTCACCAGAACCAGCCTGGTGCTTCTGCTCACCTTGCGAGGGAAACTGAGGCAGAAGGGGTTGGCAAAGGTGTGGCCAGGGAGAAGGAAGGGCTGTGTGTGCCTGTGGACCCCCCTTTGGTGCAGCCCCCACGGGCAGAGTGCTGAGAGCAGGCAAATCTGTCAGCACTTCTGGTTGGGGTTGTGACCAGGGACTTGGCTGTGCCTGGTGGCAGAGGGTCTGGCCCTGCTTACCTGCTCCATGCCCCCTCCATCCCTTCAGAGCTGCTGAGGGCAGGGAATTGCATTTTCCTGTTGGGAAGGGCAGGGGGTTGCAGCACTTCTGAAATGAGTCTGTGCTCCAAGGCTGGAGGCAGGGGGGCAATACCCACCAAAAGGCAGTGATGGGGGGTCTGCAGTGCTGCCATCCTGCAGGAACCCAGCCCAGCTCCCTTTGTCCCTAACCAGCATCCCACCCCTCCATCCCCAGCCTTTCCATGCTTTGCTGGTGGGGAAACTGAGGCACAGAGCTGGGCATCATGTTCCCATCCCTCGTGGCTGCTGCTGGTGCTTGAACCCACAGCAAACCCCCGGGGTCCTGCCCTAGCACGATGAGTCCCTGATCTCCCAGAGCTCTGGGACCCCGGGGGACACAAACAAGAATAATGGGGACTGTGGCTGAGCAGCCACCGGATCCTGGGAATCTGTGCTCTGCGGTTCAAACGCTGTCGCTAATTGACAATTTCCTCGGTGGGGAGCCTCGCCCCGGAGGAAGCAGAGTCTCCTCGCCACGCTCATCTTCCTCCTCCCCGGGAGCTCTGGGGCCTCTGCAGGCTCCATCTCACAGCTGCCTTAACCCTTGCTGGGGCTGGAACTGGGGCTGGGGCTGGAACTGGAGCTGCTCACCTGGGGCTGTCCCTCTTTCTGAGAGGTTCCCAAGTGGGCTGGCTGGGAGCCCTGGGCTGAAGCTCCTCCACAGCCTCCCCACAGCCCCGGGCTCGTTGCTGTGCCTCAGTTTCCCTATCTGTTACTCAGGAATCATTCCTTTTTGATCCCTCCCTCAGCACAGAGCTCCCAGGGCAGCCTTCAGAGCCTGCTGTGCAATGCAGGAGCCCTCCAGACTGTGGCTGTCCCTCCCCAGGGTCCCCCTGTTTCTCCTTCCAATAGTTTATTGCCAATACTGTGGCACAGGGCTGGGAAATGCAAACACCCAGGGGTGGCTCAGCCTTCTGCAGCACAAAGGAGCTGAGAGCACCCCGGGGTGAACATCAGAGGGGGTTTGGGACCCTCTGTCCTTTGCAGACCCCAGCCAGGCCCAGCACCCCAGGGCTGAAAGCTCAGCCTGTCCCGGCTCACGCGCTCGCTCCCACACCCACACCCACGTACCACAGGCACAGATGTGAGAGCACAGAACTTCATGGATTCCAGAGAGGACAAAACCCAGCGATAGTTTCTATAGACCCCAGGAGAATCTGGACCAAATGGTGATGCCATGCCAAGTGCAGGCAATGCGACCTTGCTCAGCCACCACAGGCTGTGCCACCTCCACAGGGCTTCTCCATCACTGTTCCCTCTGTCTGCACTTCAGAGCCATCAGCTCTCCAAATTTCCACCTTCTCCAGCACTCCTGATGTGCTCTTTCCCCCTCAAGAGGTGTAGGAGGGGAAGCAAAAGGTTTGCCAACGCAGGATCAGGCCCCTGGATTTTGGTTGCTGCTTAGTCTGAGCAAACACACCTGGATTCAGACACTTTGCAAAGAGCTTTAAAATAT